TTTTGCCTTAGTAAATAACATTTAATAAATACCTGGTTATTATGTAACCATTTAGCGTGGTTGTACTAAGGAATACAATGTTCTAAAAACTTGTTTAGCTTATCTTGCAGTTAACCACAACAAAGTTACTTGCTCAGTTTGCGCCTATTGGGATAGTTTTTCACGCAATGCGCCATGTTCAAACGCACGTCAAAATCATTCTGTTAGCTTTGCTCGTCTATTTGTCGGGACTCTTCTATTTCGTATGTAAGTGGATCTAGTTGTTTTATGACCCTAATAAGACCCTCTGCATCTTGTTGTCTGACATTGTTTACTAGTATTTAATAATAACTCAAATAGATTGAATTTAAGCAATTAATGTATTCACAGATTAACATACATTAATGACCGGTTATTGTCGGAGAGGTTATGTAAAAATTACCACCAACAGCTGTTAAAACTTTCTATTAAATACGGTCCAGGGTGTCCACATTCTGGAAAGTCAGGGATAGTCATGGACAGTCATGGAAATAGGCAAAAAGTCATGGAAAGCCCTAATGATGGATGGATTTGAAGGGACCTTTCAATACTCTAGTCGGCTGTAACCCCGACCATTTAGCATTTTTCAGGATTTTTTGTTGTATTAGAGTATGAGTTTTGAGATTTGTTTAGTTCATTGTTGTACCTTTTGTTCTCCATTGTTGTCTGTTAAAACATGTTTCAGTATTTTCTGTGAAATAACTTATCCAGGCAGTATTATTCGTGTGTATTTTATATTATAACTTTCGAGTAAAGTTCGTGGGTCATGGAAATCAATGGTAAATGGTCATGGATAGTCATATAAAGTCATGGAAATTAATGAAAAATTTTCTGTGGACACCTTGCAGTCTCCCTTTTATAAATTTCAAGTATGTTTAGGTGATAATCCTTAACTGCTGTAAGGTATAACTAACTGAACTTTGGCCAAATCTAAAATAAAACCAAAGACTAGAAATTAAATGCCCTTTGGAAAAGGCCCTTATGTCCTATTCTCATACCTATTGAATATAAACAAATACGTTTTTAAGTATTGGTAAAGCCGTTTTGGAGATATTCCATTACAAATACTGTGAATAAAAATTATTTATGAGAATAGTAGGTAAAATCACTATAAAATCATATATCATATTGAAGGATCGTTCGCGGAACGTCTACCCATAACGCTCCGCACATATGGTACATTCATTAATTATCTATTCTCTCCACAGTGCACAATCAAAGGCACGCTTTAACCCAAACGTGTTCATTGTCAGAAAGATTTCACGTTCAGACAAGTTAATTACTGTGCTCAGAGCATCTCCTAGCTTTTGACGCTAAACACACAGCCATGTACAGTCGTAGGTACAAAACGTTCACTTCACAACAAAGGGAACAACGAGGCAGTGTCTGTTGGTAAAACTAACGAATATGTACAGTTGGATGAACAAAACGTTCTTATAAATATATAAAGCCGAATAATTGACTATCGTTTTCAATATTCATTCCAAACATAAGTACAATCAAAGGTACAAATGATTTACGGCAATACAAAGCCAAACAAAGGGGTGGATTGTAGATACGCAAATTGGTTGTATTACCCATTTGCTAACATCGTACAATACGTATATACAGACACTCGTAGGTACAACTTGTTAAGATCCAAACAAAAGCAAACAATAAGTTAGTGTGTGTACGTATATGAAACACTATGTTTACAACATTTGGATTCGTGCAAAAACTTACAAACAGTGTTGTATACGGTCAACATGTATATAGTCGTAGGTATAGAATATTCACATTCAAACAAAGCCAAACGATGGCTCAGTGTAAGCCGCACATTTTGGCGAAAACATAAATTAATTATCTTTTTCTGTTTCGAAATGGCGGCAGTTTTTTTTTATCTATATATTTTTAATACTCTGTGTTTCATATACCAATGCATTTAGCCCTTCTCCGGTTGAATCTTCTTACTCGTTATGAAATTAGCTTTACTTTAATATGCTACAAGTAACAAGTTTTTAAAATTTAAAAAATTAAAAAAAAAATTATTTTTGAAAATTTGAAAATGACCATTGTTTAAAACTTTCAAATAGCAACATACATCAAGTGACACATCATTTTATAGGGCTTTTAATTCCTAAAAACTTTGTAATTTACACTTACTTCATATCTCTTTTAGTTTTTGCGTAAATAACAAAAAACCTAATTTTCCTTTATCAATTAATATAGGAAAATTAGGTTAAGTGTAAATTACAAAGTTGTTAGGAATTAAAAAAAAACCTATAAAATGATGTGATGAACACTTGACATACGATGCTATTTGAAAATTTTGAACAATGGGCATTTGCAAATTTTCTAAAATATAATTTTTTGGAATTTTTATCATTTCAAAAAACCGTTACTTGTAGCATATCAAAGTAAAACTAATTTAATGAGCAAGAAAATTCAACTGGAGAAAGGCTAAATGCATTGGTATATGAAACACAGAATATTAAAAATGAATAGATTTTTTTCAAAAAGACTGCCACCATTTTGAAACGGAAAAAGATAATTAATTTTTGTTTACGCCAAAATGTTTGTCTATTAAATATCTTCAAAATGATGTATAACATAACATATGTTTACATTTGAAAATTCCGAGATTCGAACTAGTGACCCTCAGTTTTTGGCACATCCTGTATTGGGAAAAGTTTAAAATATTTTCACGTTATTCCTTGGGGTCAATTTAGTGGGAAATAATTTCCTTATACGTTAAGCCGTTTTTCCGCAATCAATTTGGATCACCTCTCATGAGACACCCTGTATATATAGTCATAGATACAGAGTGTTCTCATCCTAAACCCCAAACGAAGTGATAGTGTGCAAAAAATACAACATATAAATTAGTTTCATAGTATCTTTTCCATTACATACAAAGTAAAATATTGTGTTCGCTAGTTCATTACACAGAAGTACGTTATTCACATTATTTACATTAGTCTACAATCGATCTAATTTTGTTTTTCTCTAAGTGGGTATGTGTTGTGTATGTGCTACCCATACATGCGTGTTCGAAGTTTGGTCCGGTGTGACGATGAGTTGGAATACTCCGTTTTGATGCATATTCAAAAATCAAATAAACCAATGACTTGCAGAACAGATTAGCTCCATTAGTTTCATTCGGTGCCTTAATCATTATTGCATACAATTTAATATTTTTGTTAAGAAAACAGGTTCCCAAAACTAACAAATCAATTTAACAGTCACTTTTTAAAAGATTTTTAAGATTATAAAGCTGAAGTAATACAAACAATATCGTACGCACATTGTATACTGCTACTTATATTACGATATTCTACTGAATATTTTCCCAACTATGATTAAACAATAATATCAACACAATAAAATATAGGAAATTTATTCATAAACATTGTGACCATAAAAGATTTGGTATAAGTTGAGCATTGAAGGAGCTTTTTATGTAAAGTATTCCAATAAGCTTAAACCAACGCAGAGCAAAGAGTGTTGAACAAACACCGCCAGATTCTCGCTGGCAGATGCTTGAATAACGAAACTAATGCTGCGTAATTAAACCGACTGCGCAATTTGCACTGATGTAGTTGAGTTTTGCCTCGCAGTTCGGTCGATTTGCATTAATATCCCGTTGGGCTTTACGGTCATTCTTTTAGGAGAAACGTAATTGCTATTTGATTAATACTATTTTTATGGTTCAATGAACTGTATGGTTCATTGCAACATTCAATTTGTATATTTGTATCGTGTAGCTCTTTGTCAATATCAATTGTAATTTTCACGAAATTTAATCATGAGGTGATCGTAGATATTGTAAAGGTTTGGCGGTTTTATTACAATAATTCAATGTATTATTGCTGAAAATAATTCTTTGGTTTTAATAATAATAAAATAATTAATATAAAAAAATATTGAGATTCGCACGTAGATGATATTTATGAAAAGTATAAATAATGTCATTTTATATTGATTATTTTATATTAAAATTTTCCTTTTGTCAAATTTTAAATAATAGTATTAAAAAGGTACATTTGGAGTAAAACCTAAAATGATTGCTATTATAGTTTATTTAAATTTAATAGATATATAGGTTTTTTTAGGGTTTTGGATCAGTTTGAAGGTGATTTTTTTATCCCTAATCTCAAGGAAAAAATCGGCCATTGTCTTATTAATAAAATATATTAGTACAATTAATTTGTTTGTACAAGCAAATTAAACATAACAATGTTATGCTTATAATTTTATATACTTTTATAGCTTAAATAATAAAATTTAAATCATTTTAATAGAAAGTAACCTGCATTTCCTTCTTGAAGATATACGGAATGTTTCTCATAAATAATAAATGCGAACCACAATATTGCATTCTTTACAAAGCCAGGTCCCAGGGATTGCCTCGTAGATGTGAGCACAAAGTGAATTGCCCGTCGGAACCTTTCGCGGCCATTTCATGTTTGTTTATTGTACTTATCTCGCTATACAGCTGCCTTTTAAAAAACGGTGACTCTTTTTGGTATTAAGTATGTTCTTAATGAATTACTTAAAATATATTTTTATTGCAGACACATTGTCTAATTTTGTTGATTAATTTACAATTTTTAAAATATATAGTTAAGCATAGTTACCACGAACTAGCAATCCAACATGTTAAAATGTACCTCCTTTAATTATTATTTAAGATATACCTATTAATGATATTTTTCTTTTCGATTGTAGTTCAATTGTTTTTATAGTTATTATAGCCAAATATACGTCAATTTTAGGAATGTAATTGTCTTAGTTAATTTGGATACAACGTAGGCAAAGATTATGTCACGCATCCAATTTTAGTTTAAACGCAAGTGGCAATTAGCAATGTAAAACATTAAACATTTTAAAGGGAAATCGGTTTTTTACGTTTAGGAACGTTGATATTCCTGACTTCGTACCGGTCCATCTCGTGCCAAAGTCTGAGACGCATCGACCCTGTATATCCAACTGTTGTGTCATACCTGTCTCTGATATCCACGGGGCCGGAGACTGGAGACTGCAGATGTAGGAGGCCGGCCAGCGCGGCGGAGCCCTTGTACACACTGATGAGCCAGAACTGCGCGGAGTAGTGCCTGGGGTCCGACACGGCGGGGTCTGTCTGCACGGCGAGGCCGCGGAACACGACAGCGGCGCGAGTGACCCGGTCCTCCGTGACGGCGGGTCCAGGATCACAGGAGGCTACCACTAGTGGCAGCAGCGTGGCTATCAGCACCAGGGGTCCGGACATGGTGGATGCCTCTGTGTCACGGACGCAACTACTGCTGCTACACCACCTCTGCAGCGCGCGCACCTCCACCCACCTTCCAACCTCCTACCTACCTGCCTGCCACCTACCCCACTTATCATACGATCTACTCTAATTAGCTTATTTAGCCATTAGGGTGTGACGTATTAAGTATATTGGATTCTTGAGTTATTGCCTGAGTTAATGTTGCGACGAGGTTTTGTTTACCTTGTTAGTCTTAGAAACTTGAGTAATGCAGTATTTGTTGGAATTGACCTAAAACGCTGTGACCTTTGTGGTTTACCGAAGCCTTTTACTTAATCTACCAAATTTATCATACGTTCTACTTTAGTTGGCTTATTTTGCTATTGGGGTGTGACGTATTAGGTATATTGGATTCTTAGATTATTACTTGAGTTAATTTAGTTATACCTTGTTAGTATTAAAAACTTGAGTAATCCAGATTGTTGTTATAATTTACTGAAATGGATGTGATCTTTAAGGGTTTTGAAGCATTTTTATTTAGCACCTATAAAATTAATTTCACTTTCTACTTTAGTTAGATTATTAAGGCATTAGGGTGGGACGTAATAGGTGTATTCGATTCTTCGGTTATTACATGGGTTAAGGTTGCGACGGTGTTTTGTTTACCTTGTTAATCCTAGAAAATTGAGTAATGCAGTAATTTGATGGAATTGGGTTTACGTCGGAACTGTCGATGGTTGCAGAAGCATTTTCATTTACCATTTACTCTACAATTATGAGTTAGCCGTTGGGCGTAATGTATTAAAGTAATTACAGTGGGCCCCTGTCACACGGAGCTGGTTTTTTTCACCGCTAGTAACTAGCAGCTAGAGCCAGCATAAAACCAGCATGTGTGACTGATTCACCAGCTGCTTTAATTTACAAGCCCATAGTAGTAGATATAAAATAACAGTGTTTATAAATTGACATTTCATTTTTTGCCTTGTACTCTTTTACTTCTATGATGGATGATCATAGACTAAACATCACTTCTAATAACAACAGGTGACATTGTTTTTGTTAACTACACACACAATCCAAACTACATCACCCGTCTTGTATAAGTTGTAGCGCTAGTTCTCCAGCTTTGTCTGACAGGACTTCTAGCGCGCTGGAGAACTAGCAACTAAAGCTGCTGGATCTCGCAGCGAGAACTAGCAGCTGAAACAAGCTCTGTGTGACAGGGGCTTTTTCAATTCTGGAGCTATGGCCTGAGTTAATGATGCTATGAGGGTGTTTTTTATTTCTAGAGACTAAATGTTGTGTTTTAGATTAAATAGCTGTGAACTTAAATTTATATTGAAGTGTTCGACCTTTATGGCGTTAAGTCAAAAATTATATCGACAGACTTGTCCAATTACCCATAGACTCGTCAGTATTGGAAATAAATGCGTTTGATTTAAATAGTCTTTTTTTACTAATAAAATCAAAGAAAAACACGTATCGTTTCTTATCATTTGGGTAAATAAGCTGTCAAGATTTGGAATGCAAAGGATTATCGTTGTAGTTTATAAATAAAAACATAAAAAAACTATTCATGCTGGAGTAAAGAAAATATACCTTTTCTAGCCCAATATGAATCCATGATATTTATACCGGGTGTACACAAAAGAAGTAAACAACTTTGTACGTTAATATAACAAAAACTACGTGTTCGACATCGCTGTGGTTGGTATCAATGTGTTGGAAAACACCTCAAGTTTTGTTCCACACAGCTGACTGTTGTCAACAATGCCAACAATGTGGCAAAAGTAGTCGTTTAGTGATTTCGTTGAAAATGGTCAATACTCTTACAGAAAAGTCGTTTTGTGTCCTGGAGTTTGAAAGAACTCGATCTGCTACCACTGTTCAGCGTCGTTTTCGGACACGATATCATAGAGACCCTCCAAATAGGAAATCAATCTACGATTGGCATCGGAAATTCAAGGCCACGGGTTGCATAAGAAAAGGAAAGAGCTCTGGAAGACCAGCGACGTCTGATGCTCAGGTTGAGTTAGTCCGTGCAACTGTTGTACACACTCCGAGGAAATCAACGCGGAAGATGAGTATGGAGCTTCAAATGCCGCATTCCACGATTTGGAAGGTTTTGAGAAAACGTCTGAAGATGTTTCCGTACAAACTGCAGTTGTTGCAAAGTCTGAACGATGGCGACAAAGTGAAACGCTTTGAGTTTTGTAGTGATCTGCAGGAACTGCAGGAAGAAGATGGTTTCTATGAAAGACTCATTTTTGGCGACGAATCAACGTTCCACATAAGTGGTAAAGTAAACAGACACAATGTAAGAATTTGGGGGACCGAAAATCCTCGAGAGTCTGTTGAACATGAGAGAGACTCACCTAAGCTGAACGTATTTTGTGCTGTATCAAAGAAGAAGGTGTATGGTCCATTTTTCTTTCAAGAAGCAACCGTCAGAGGAAATGCTTACTTAGACATGCTGAGTGAATGGTTGATGCCTCAACTCGAGGAAGACAGTGAAGACTTTGTTTGGGTGCAAGATGGTGCACCGCCACACTGGCTGCACGATGTAAGAGACTACCTTGACGAGAGTCTACCGCAGCGCTGGATTGGCCGTGCTGCTGACGACAACTTACACCTCTTACGTTGGCCTCCACGAAGCCCGGACTTAACCCCGTGTGATTTTTTTTTGTGGGGTTATGTGAAAGACAGAGTTTTTGTTCCTCCTTTGCCGTTGACTCTTTTGGAGCTCAGGAATCGCATTACTGCTGCAGTACAAAGTGTTAATGAAGCCACTCTTCAAAAGGTTTGGTCAGAATTTGATTTTAGAATAGATGTCTGCAAAGCAAGCCGAGGTTCACATATTGAGCACCTGTAGTATATAGGAAAAAACTTGAGGTTTTTCTCTTTCTAATGGTGTATGTTAGTCTTTATAAGTTAGTAAAACTTCGCTATAATTTTAAAACAAAGTTGTTTACTTCTTTTGTGTACACCCGGTATATTAAAATTGATACTCTAATTTTACATTTTTATTCTTTTTTAAAGATATAATATAAATACGTAATAAGAATAACACTATGAACGAGAATTGTCTTTGTTCTAGAAGGGACGTATATCATGTTCAAAGACTACTTGTGTAAGATTTATTTGTCATTCTGACAACGGTAACAGTCCCTTTGTGAAGGTCAGTTTGTCCAAAGCACCGTTATCGATAGATTTTTGCTAGAAACTTCGAATTTCTAGTTGATGATACCTGTGCTAGAACATAACAAAGGAATTAACTACGCTATGGAACTTATAACCGAGAGTGGCGATTGGAGTTTATCTTAAGTATCTAACCTTTTGCAGATAAAACACGTTTTTTTTATCTTCAACTAGACCATGAAGTTTGTAACTTGCAGTCGCATTTTCGTGAAAGAAACAACATATTACTGCCTTTATTTACACCTTTTTGATACAAGAAAACGTGACACGTGATACAATTTATTTTCTTCGATGGTCCAGATACAATTTATGGAGGCAATTTACCCAAAAATCTTAATAAGTCAAATTTACTTGTATTTTACGATATACATGATTATACGTTTAACAGTGTATTTTGACTAAAGGGGAAAAATTAGACTGATTCCCCCCAACCACCCTTATATTTTTATCCATTTGTTTTATTTTGAAGCCTTATACTTTAGCTACAAACTGTTAATAATTAAAATAAAAAAATAAAATGTGATAAATTAAAAACATGTCATTGTATGACTTTTAACATGCTACAGTTTGTGCATTATATATCTAAGCATAAGAGTGCCAAATATCAACACCGTAGGTTGAAAGTTTAAATAATTTATCCTGCAAACATTCCGTCAAAATGTAGACAAATCTAACTTTCAGTTAATTGGTTAAAACAATGAATATACTAGGTGTCCCACGTAAGTTGTCTCAAATTGATTAAGGATGAAATACAATTATTTCCAGCTAAATCATCCCCAAGGAATAACTAAAAAAATATTTTTAACTTTATTCCGGTACAGGGTGAGCCAAAAACTGAGGGTCACTAGTTCGAATCTTGGAATTTTTAAACGTGATAATTTTAAAGTTATTTAATAGACAAACATTTTGGTGAAAACAGACATTTTTTTATCAATATGTTTTTAATACTCTGCGTTTTCTAAACCAATGCACTTAGCCCTCTCCCGTTGGATTTTCTTACTCGTTCTTAAATTAGTGCTACTGTGATAAGCTACAAGTAACGGGGCTTTTTTTAAATAATCAAACTTCCAAAAAATTGATTTTTGTAAGTTTTTCTAAATTTGCAAATGCCCATTAATCATAATTTTCAAATAACAACACATGTCAAGTGGCGCATCATTTTATAGGTCTTTTAAGTCTTTACGAGATACGAAATAAGTGTAAATTACAAAGTTGATAAGAATTAAAAAATATATAAAATGATGTGCCACTATGATGCTATTTGAAAATTTTGAACAATAGGCATTTGAAAATTTTCAAAAATATTTTTTTTGAATTTTTATTTATAAAAAAACCCATTACTTGTAGCATATCACAGTAAAGCTAGTTTCATAACGAGTAAGAAAATTCAACCGGAGAGGGGGTAAGTGCATTGGTATAGGAAGCACAGAGTATTAAAATATATGGATAAAAAACTGCTGCCATTTTTGTATTTTTTGTTGTCCAAATTCATAAAAAGTCAATAGTATCAAGGTATCTAAGGTATCTAATTACCCTTTTACACCAATACACTTAGATAAGTTTAGCTGTTAACTAAAACTGCAGTGCTGGAAACAAATTAAAAAAATTCTAACAATCATAACAGTGTAGTATAATATGCATACAGTATATGATTGCTAAATGTAGAGTGGAGGGTGTGATCCCTGCGTACTAAATGTAGTATTAACAAAACACATTTTTGCATGCTATGTTTTTCACTAAAACTGTTTTGAAAATGTACTATAGTAACCAAACAAAAAAAAAGTAATACAAAAATTTCATAAATTTCTCACATTTTGGATGAATGGCCCT